TAGCTTTGCGACCAGATATTGTCGTTGCCGTAGTCCCCATTTTCTCCTGCGTTAGCGTCGTGGATTTTTGAGAATCGTGTTTCGTTGGTGTGACCGTCTTCGAGGGGCGTGTATTGTCGATTAAAAATCATTGTTGATGAAAGCTGGTCTCACTCGATCTATGCTTACCACGTATGTCTTTCCAGGTTTTTCTACGGTAAATGTTTTATATTTCCTCGTAATCACTTTAAACGTACCGTCGTAACTCGGCTGCAAAGGTGTTTGTTTAGATTTGTGGTGTACTATGATATTAGTACTGCTCTAATAATAGACCTAATCCTAAAATTGTAGATTTGTCATGATATAACTACCTAATCTGTAAGATCTTACATGGAATTCACGTCATCGCCTACATCAACTAACTACATCGTAACAATTATCAATACATGATGGAGAACAAGCTTAGGCTAGAAATGGAACAATATTTATTTAATATGAATAAAAGATATAAGATAACACTCAGCAGGGACCACGCCGACGAGGCCGAGCCATGCCACCCGATCAACTCCGATTAAGTCAATTTTTGTTGTTCCCGCCTTATCCATTGTTAGGTATTTCTCAGCGTTAAATGTTGAGTGTCCATTTTTCGTATTGTCTCGTGTTAGGGCCCAATGCCACTGCAGCTGTACATTATCTGTTCTAATGAATACTTGAGAGCTGTTATATAGTTCCTGAAGTATGAACGCTCGTCATTTTTGTATTCTTTAAAAAGTTATCTTTAGATCGTTCAAACGCTTCTTCAGGCGTTGCACGTGGTTGGTTATATCAGTCAAGACACTTTTACCTGAAGTGAAATCTTCGGATAAACATAGAGAAATTTCATACATCAACTCTGCTGGACAACATCCCATATTCTGTCTAATTGTAGTTCTTAGACCCAACATGAATAGAGGAAGCTTATTAGCCCAATCGCTGCTAACGATGACAGATATTAGAGACGCTTTTAACTGCCAAAACAGGTGTTCAGCCATTCCGTTTGCCATTGGGTGGTGGGATATCGTTCGAATACGTTTAGTTCCGAAGAGTCGACTTCCAAATAAGGTTTCTCTACAGGTTGTGATAATTGCTGGTGTGTGACGACAATTTCTCGGGCTATTATCTAATTACAGACGTTTTATTCCGAATATTGCAGCAATAATCCAACTGTTAACTAGTGTGTTACGGGGACTTGCCCGGTCATTCCATTTATCAGCAGAGGCGATACAAGCATTCGAGAACGCTGAGAAGGAGCTAAACAGTGAAACGGCACTAGCTGGACAAAAGAGCGAAACACCATTAGCTATCATGACCGATGCATCAAATGTGGCGGTAGAAGTCGTTCTAAAACAAGTAGTTAACGACATATGGGAACCGCCTTCATTTTTTTAAAAGAGATTGAATCCCACACATAAGAAATATAGTACTTTCGGAAGAGAATGACCGAAGATTTACTTGGCAAACATTTTCGACATATGGTAGAAGGCAAAAGTTTTACTGTGTACACAGACCATAAACCGCTCATGAAAGCACTAAGCTCAAGACAAGATCATTATTCTCCGAGAGAAATCCGGCAGTCATAATTTATTTCCCAGTTCACGTCCAATATACGATACGTTAAGGGTCGAGAAAACGAAGTAGCTGACACACTATTAAGAACAACAATAAACGCGCTTATCCCAAGTGGAATCGATTATCACGGTCTGGCAAAGTTTCTGGAGACTGACTTTGGATTAAACAAGCTAAGATCCGACGATACGACATTGCTAGTATTCGAAGATATTCAGATCAGTAGCTCAAAAGCGATATGTGATATGTCGACAGGTCGACATTGTGAAAGTATGCACAGCATATCGCATATGCATATAAATAAATAATTTCATCTAGAACATATCTCTCACGGACCCAATCATATTTGACGATTTACTGTTAGCTGTTTGTCCGAAATTTACATGATCAGTACTTCCTTGCAAAAGAAATTTTGGTAACCATTCAAACGCATTAGTAGTTTTATTACACCTTATCACGGTTGAATAATAATTAAGTTGAGGTGAACCAAATAAATCGTATTAAACTTAACAAACGAGCTGGAACATTAGTTATACTTCTGTTCTCTTAGTTGGCCTACTAATGCAGATGCAATTTGTAGTCGACACATACGGACGGCATACCGGCGTAAACACTAACTAAAAGTGGTGTCTTGCATTATTTGTCGTGAGATATGGCAATAATATTTGACTAGATACTGCTAACTAGCAGTGTTGTCGAAGTTGACGAGGTCACCCATAAAATTCCGCTACCTACAAAGAACCATACTGTGAGTATTTGTTCAATAATGTGTAGCGGTAAATAGATCCTCAAAATCAATACCTCTGCAAGTCTTCAACGTTTGATGCCGGCCGCATTGGCTGTAATGAACTCACCTAGCTGAAGGTGCTCGGTCACTCATCCACACCAAATCACGAGTGGGTAGGCCGTGCTTCACATCTCCTACGACCTTTAGCCAGCTTAGATTAGTCACTCCTCGATATATCAATATTCTATCAAATATATCCTCAGACCCTTTCGCTCCTGACCTCTGATTTGACCGGGTTGGCACATATTGGTTACAGATGTTACTGGTTAAGGTGTTGTTAAACTCCGAATGCAGGTAGCATCTTTAAATGCAGTTGTGTTCCTACCTGAAATCAATGATAACTTCGGTTAACACAGGTGATGCAGTTCATCCTAAATCTGCCACGAAACTTCAAAATAAAATATTTCATCACAAAAACCATATCTCAGCTATTATTCATAAAGAAATCGTCACTCCGATAATGATAACATATCACCATTTGGTTGTAATTTGTCAAGAAAATGGTATTTACTGTCGTGGTGTCTGTAAAAAAGTAAAGTTGTATTCAGTAACTTAACGTAACTGCTTACTCCATAAGCTTTTGACAGATACCACGATAACACCTAAAACTCACGAAAACATCAAGAGAGAGCTAGTAACACATGCCATGTTTTTATCACATTCATGTGATGCTTTCGTTGTTTTTCATGATATAGACCTAACCTGCATTTTCTGGTTTCAACGTGTGGCTACTATTAAGCCACATGACGCCAGGACCAAGCACAAAGTCAAGCTGGAGCTGACCATTCCACTTGTGGACTGTCTTGATCATGAAAAACGTGTAAAGGACAGGGCCCACTAACTCGATAAACCTTATATAGGTAGGCTACCTTTCCATTCACGTAAGGCTCATACAGACAAGCAGGAAGAAGGTCACAGGCTTCAAATTGAAAGCATAAACTGCTTGTACATGAACGCCGTGAGTCTACCATATAAAATGAACCGGCTTCATGAACTTGGCAATGCTAATAATGCATATCTGATAGAAATATCTGAAACTTGGATATCTTCTCAGTTTACGGACCAGGATCTAGCAATACCTGGAATATCTTTGTTTCGCAACGACAGAAAAACAGGAATTGGGGCTGGAGTAGCCGTATACATATTTTCCTGCCTGGAGGTACACTAATTTCACAACCAGGTGTTTATAAATCTTGATGAATCCATATGGTGCTCAGTAAGATTATCTACCACTTCGAGGTGCCTAGCTAGGGTGATCTACAGGAAGCCCACTACTGACGTCGAGTACGACAGTCGTATGCTGGAAGGACTATCCCGCTCTACTCGTCTCGGATTCACTTATATCTTGATTCTAGGGGACTTCAATCTCCCTATAGTCAATTTCGCGGAACATACGTGTGTTGGAGGTGAAAACTCAACTGAAGCTCGGTTCCTCAACCTCATTGAGAATCTGGGATTATTCAAAAATGTGAAGTCGACAACTCGTTGGAGAAATAGCCAGATAGCGTCGCGCTTAGACTGGGTATTTGCAAACAAATAATTTCTAGTTGAAAACCTCTCAATCCTGGCTCCCCTGGGAAAGAGCGATCACGCCGTTATAGCCTTCAGTTTTGTCGGCAAAACTGAGCTAAAATATCCCAACAACAACAGGCGTTGGAATCTCAAACGGTTAAATGTGTCAGCTCTACAGGACTATCTACAACAGGTGGATTGTGACGTTCACCCTCAACTTGATGTGGATGTTCCTTGGGACTTCTAACTGTAAAGTAGTCCATCTGCGACACGTCGCAGACTACAGTTATAACTTAGGAAACTCCTCTCTAGTAGTATTCCTAGTCGAAAAATATTCAGGAGTTCTGGTGCCACACGACTTAAAGTCTCAAGCTGTGACAGAAATACCTTTCGAGCAAACCTTGCACTGGTAACATTGAAGCGCATTTTTGGTCAGTTTGACAGGAGAACTTTCCACACAATCTTCAACAGTTTTATTCGTCCCCATTTAGAGTACGGAGACATAGCATTCCCTCCTACACTCCAAAAGGATAAGGACACTCTGGAGCGTATAGAACGGCGAGCCACGAAATCAGTTCGGGGACTAAAATTTAAACCTTATGAAGAGCGCCTCAAATCACTTGGCCTTTACTCATTAGAGTATAGGCTTCTTAGAGGTGACCTTGTAAAGGCTTACAGTATCCTTAACACTTCTGGACATCCCCTTAAACACCTACTTAAGCTTAGTCTTAGTACAACCCTAAGGGGTAACGCCTAGAAATTGGAGACACAACAAAGCAGAACGGACTATAGACACAATTTCTACTCCTTAAGGGTTGTCAAATGTTGGAATTCGCTGTCGACTGAACTATTCTAAGTGAATTCCCAGGAATTATTTAAGAGGAAACTTGACCTATTCTTAAGGACTAAGGATTACATCTTATTATGATTTACCAATTTCTTTTTTTCTCTATTATCGTTAATATACCCAGGTTCCTGCCTGGAGGTATTGGTGATCCACTGCTACTAGACACGGGAGCCCGTTAAGCGAAAGCTTCTTTTATTCCGTCCACAACCATTTGAAGCATTTGAAGCACATTGAACCTTGTGGTATTTCATTAATTTACTAGGCGCGAAGGTATAAATTGACAGTGTAACACGGTAAGATAGGAACGATCCTTAACTTAAAATTATTGGTCGATTGACTGTGTGGATCGATGCCATTATTTTCGGCAGTTGAAGTTATTTAGAAGATAATTGAGCTGAAAATTTGTACTCATCTCATTGGAGATTTATTCCAATGACAATCTCATCAAACTGATCGATTTGTTCACTACACTACCATGATTTGAGTTGTATATAGTTGTCAGTAGGTTTGAATAATTGTGTTAATTTACAAATGACCACTTTCTTGATAAAATCGCATGGAATGCACTTTTGGCCAGCAGAGGCGAAATGGTACAATTTGAGTCAATTGACAATGCATTGGTATATAAGTAAACATTCAGAATAATTTGGTTCACACTAAATAAATCAGTATTAATCCATCCAACGTGCACTTAACTTTCTAGAATTTTGTATGATCTCAGTCTAATATTAAAGCCAGATGAAACAGTTGTATATAGATGCAACTGTTTCATCTGGCATGAGACAGACATATATGCTTGTGAATCACACCCTTTTTGATTTATTTATGTTACATAACTGTACAATTTATAAGTTGTTTTTAGTTTCTGTGACCTATTGATTGAGTTTCATGTACCCTGACTAATTAGGCATATCTGCATGATCAAAGTGAACAACTAAATAATTAACTTGTCTCTACCATTTTAGTTATCATCTGTATTACGGAAATTCTATCTAAATATCCTGAAATATGAATCGTGGATGACGTTCATATTTATACTTTTATATACATCGGAGTAAATAATTCAAGTTAGCAAAAAGTTCTTATTTGTAAAGTTAAGTGAAAATTAGTTCGTATTTTCGGGATGTCGTCTTAACTTGATTTTAAACGAATATATTTGGTCTAATTTACCTTGTCATAAGCTGGTTTCATGTTCGAATTCCGTTTTAAATAGATCAAACACAAACGCCTTCAATGATTCGAAGATTATTGGTACGCAGGTTTTGATTATTGCTATCGTTATAGCCTCACTTTAGATTCTTGAAAACGAATCCTCTCCAATATCACAAATTCTCTACAACCCCTAAGCTTTTAGATTTAAGTGAATTTTTCGATGATAAGAAGAACTGGGGAGAAGCAACTGTATGTAGTGGAAGACCATGGCGCAAAGAAGAGCTTCGACTGAAGAGTAATGTTGATTTACATAAACTGTGGTACGTACTCCTGAAGGAGCGTAACATGCTGATGACTATGGAAGAAGAGCATTTCCGTTGTTTAGAGCAAATGCCTAATCCTGAGCGCTTTGAAAAGGTAGGTCAATGTGTATACATATTGGATAAAGTTATCGCGCTTACTTTCGAAGTTTATCACCATAATTAGTTTGAAGTTATAAAATTAACTTTACTGAAATGATACTGGCTACTTGTAAATTATGGTTGTTATTTATTACTTATTTGAACACATATATATTGGTACAAGAGGGCGCCACACAAAATAATGAGAATTTGAAGAGAAGAAAGAAGAAAAGAGATTATGACTGTGGCTTAAGTTACGACATTCGACTCCCAATTATTAGATCGCATGTTCGAGTCATGTTCCATTTACTTCGGTTTGGGCAGCTGGGTAGTATTCTAGCTGTGACTTAATGCTAGGAAAACGGATCTGTACTTGGCGAGTTGGGGTCAAATTACTTCAGAATCGTATTATATTCGAGTGTCAGGACGAAGTGTGTTGTTTTATTACGCTCATAAACACTAAAAAAAACTGAATTTAACAAAAAGGAATAAAGTAAATATTGATCAAATGATGTTGCCTTTTCATGTTGCCATATTCTACGTTTTGTGCTGGGAATTCTTTAGTGTATTTGGTATTAAATAAAGCGGCTATTAATAATGTACATACAGAAACACTTGGGAAGTTTACTTTTGATAGAGGAGCGAAATGTTTGTCGTATTTGCTCATTATCTGCTATTCAGGCGCTATCACCAATGATTTTACCATCTGTTGATCTTACTCATAGAGACCAAGCTAACAAATACAGTTGTGCTAGTGGAGACGCTGAAGGTTGATGGGTGCAATCTATTTGTTATGGGTCTGATGTATAACAGTGATCAGGGTTTAGAAACTGTTGAGATATCTCACGACCGATCAGTGGGGAAGATGTATTAAACCTTAGTCTTTCCCTATGTCTTAAGCCTTAGTATTAACTTGTACTCCTCCTGGAGTCCCTTTCCGGGGGCTACTGCCGGTCACAAGCCCAGATAAAGGAGGAGGGTTGGGCATAGGGTTAGCGACCCCATCCCCTAGAAAACTAACTCGCCAAAAAACCGCTAACCAGAAAAAATTATTCAAACCATTTAAACTCTGCCATGGGAGTCAGGAGGTCTTCGTTTAGAAGAATTATGACGCCTCATGATGAAAGCCGAGTTTCTTCGGAAGTCACGAGGCCGATGACCCTTCTGACAACCAAAGCAACCATTTATTTAGGTACATGGAATGCTCGCACAATGTGGGAGACTGGGAGAGTTTTCCAAATTGCTGCACTGTAAACATTGCTTTACCCACATACGAACATCTTTATTCATGGACGGCCAGACGTATCGTGCAGCGATGATACGTAATGTGGCTGGATGAGATAATCCATGTAGGGCATCGAAGACGAGACGGCGATAGGCAGAGGGTACGATGGGTCGAGGAAGACCGGTAGAAGTATCACATAAGATAGTACCTGAGCTAGTAGCTAGGGGTACTTCCTGACACTGAAGGGACGAAGATTGTAGTGCTTCTGTACAGACAGGATTGTTTGCGTGCGCGGCGGCCATAGCAAGAAGATCGAGCACCGGTAAGGTAACTGCATTCGCTTGGATACGTGATAGAGCATCGGCGACATAGTTCGACTTGCCTTTGATGCGACGAAGGTCTGTCGTGAACTGTGAGATATAGTCCAAAAGTCTGCACTCTCGTGGTGAGTAGCGGTCAGACTTGGTATGAAGGGCATACGTTAAGGGCTTGTGGTCGGTGAATAAGATGAGATTGCGACCTTCTACTGCGTGCCGGAAATGTTTGATGGCGCAGTAGGCTGCTAGCATTTCGCGACTAAAAGCGCTATATCTCGTCTCCGTGGGAGTAAGGCGTCGTGAGAAAAATTCGAGCGGTTGCCAACTATTTATTTATTTATTTGAACACATAAATATTGGTACAGGGGGGCACCAAATATATATGCGCCACACAGGTTGCCAACTACCGGAGATATTCTGTTGCATAACAGCTCTTATGGCAAAATCCGATGCATCAACCGCTATACTAAGCGTAGCTGATGGGTCAGGATGAGCGAGAAGTGTAACTTGCGCGAGAGCCGTTTTGATCTCTGAAAATGCAGTGCGTGCGGTATCGTTCAATTCTAATTTGCGTGGATTACAGAGAAGTAAATCGGTTAATAGTCGTAACCGTTCTGCCGCGTGAGGGATGAAACGTCGGTAGAAGTTAACCAAACCGAGAAAAGCCTTCAGTTCCTTGAGTGTGGACGGCACGTTGTACACCTTTATTGCTCGAACTTTGTCCTCGCAAGGCAGAATATCCTCTTGTTTGATGATGTGACCCAAAAACATTATTTCCGATCTGCCCAATTCACACTTGTCTGGGTTGACTACTATTCCATTATCCGAAAGGCGTTGGAATAATAGTGTAAGGTATTGATAATGTTCATCTACGCTTGATGATGCGATCAGCAGATCATCAATATAGATGTGAACAAAATCCAAGTCTCGTCTATGCTATCGATAAACCTTTGGAAAGTTTGAGCAGCATTCCGTAATCCAAATGGCATTCGTAGGAACTCAAACAGACCCAAAGGAGTCGTGATAGCAGTTTTTTCGATGTCTTCAAGAGCGACTGGGATCTGGTGATATGCTCATACCAGATCGATTTTAGAAAAGATAGTCGTGCCCTTGAGCGATGCCGTGATGTCGTGTATGTGGGGGATGGGGTAGCTATCAAAGCGTGTAACCACGTTTAATGCTCGGTAGTCGCCGCTTGGTCTCCAACTAACCCCATCCTTTTTGCGCACCATGTGAAGAGGAGAGGCCCAGGGACTGTGAGAAGGACGAGTAATATCAGTAGATAGTGAATTGTCAAACACACGTTTAGCGAAGGCTAATTTGTCCGGTGCCAGTCGCGTGGTCTTGCCGTGACTGGTGATCCGCGGATGACTATGTGGTGTGCCACACGATTGGTCACCGATGAAATCTCGAGTGGTTTAGTTATTCTGGGGAATTTCTCGAATAAGGCGTGGAATTTATCGTCACGCGAATAAAAAGTGCCGAGGATTCGGTACGCGTTTGTGTGAACTTTAAAGCCCATGAATTTACTGTTCGACGAAGTATCGACTAGCTGCAGCCTACGTGAATCGACAACTCCGCCTGGAGTCCCTTTCGAAAGGGCTACTGCCGGTCACAAGCCCAGATAAAGGAGGAGGGTTGGGCATAGGGTTAGCGACCCCATCCCCTAGAAAACTAACTCGCCAAAAAACCGCTAACCAGAAAAAATTATTCAAACCATTTAAACTCTGCCATGGGAGTCAGGAGGTCTTCGTTTAGAAGAATTATGACGCCTCATGATGAAAGCCGAGTTTCTTCGGAAGTCACGAGGCCGATGACCCTTCTGACAACCAAAGCAACCATTTATTTAGGTACATGGAATGCTCGCACAATGTGGGAGACTGGGAGAGTTTTCCAAATTGCTGCAGAAATGAGGAGATACAATTTGGAGGTGCTTGGGATCAGTGAAACACATTGGACGCAAGTTGGACAACAACGACTAGCTTCAGGGGAGCTGCTGTTATACTCCGGACATGAACAAGAAAATGCTCCACATACACAAGGAGTTGCATTGATGCTGTCCAAACAAGCACAAAATGCACTTATAGGATGGGAATCTCATGGACCAAGGATCATCAAAGCTTCCTTCAAAACAAAGAAAACGGGGATTACAATGAACGTCATCCAATGCTACGCGCCTACCAACGACTACAATGAAGACGCTGAAGATCAATTCTACGATAGGCTGCAGTCAGTCGTCGAGAAGTGCCCAACAAAAGACCTGACTATTCTGATGGGAGACCTAAATGCTAAGGTTGGAATTGACAACACCGGATATGAAGAGATCATGGGACGACACGGACTGGGAGAAAGGAACGAAAATGGTGAGAGATTTGCAAATCTATGTGCCTTCAATAAACTGGTCATAGGCGGGACTATATTCCCACATAAACGCATACACAAAACCACATGGACTTCACCGGATCACACCACACAGAACCAAATCGACCATATCTGCATCAACAAAAAGTTCAGGAGGACGATGGAGGACGTGAGGACAAAGAGAGGAGCTGATATAGCATCAGATCATCACTTGCTGGTCGCCAAGATGAAATTGAAACTCAAGAGGCACTGGACAACGGGGAGGACAATATCACAAAAGTTTAATATGGCTCTTCTTCGGGATAATGACAAACTTCTATCCTAGCCACTATTGGGTATCAGGAGAATTGGTGTCTGGAAATACTCCACCCATGTAGCAGGCATCTTAGCCAATAGAAGTCCACAGCACCATTAATTGGTCCATAATCTTCTAACTAAAGCTGTGAATAATCTCGGATCCCTTAATGGCCTTCATACAGATGCACTACCTCAAAGAAGTCTGTAGTCAAACATCACCAACCCACACCATATCCGTTACTTTGACGAGGTGGTCAAACTTGTTAACTGTGGCGCCGAACTACGTTACATAGGATTCTTCCCCTTTAAATATTTCATTGAAGCGTGCAAAGTTGTAGCGGAACAATCTGTATTTATTTTGAAGACTAGCGTTTGAAAAAGGATGTAGATATTTCATGTTTTCAAAAAGCTGTGATCGAGATTGGAGATGGTCGAGTTAGGTTACGGAAAGTAGACGTAAAAGGATCGTTTGTGAGGCCTATTATTTATGGATTAAGTGTGAATAATAAATAATTCTATGTGGATTAACGGGCATCATTTTTAGTAATTTGTTTATTATAAGTATGTCAAACTATGCTATCTCTTTGGAACGAGCTTACTTCACAATTCAAATGTTACATTACATCTGTTTTTAAAATAGGTTGAGGAGAGTATGGAGAATCTTTTAATGGTCGTAGAAGAACGTAACCGTGCAGAAGATGAATTAGAAAAAGGTGAATGGGTTGGTCCAAAGGTCGTGGAGTCAGTAGACCCGTTGGGTCGAGCAGTTCAGACACTGACCAGTGAACATCTTTCTCCTAAAGTCATACCAAGTCATGCACAATCAGAAGAGTGCATGTGGAGTGAAAAAACGGTGAATTTGTTGCGGTTGGAGCGCGAAAAGCAAATTATCAGAATGCGCGAAAATCAACGAAGGCAGCGTTATTTCGACAGGCTTAAACACTGGAACAAAAGTGACTATCTCAACGAAGATTCGATTTAAAGCCAATTGGCATAAACTTATGATATCTTAGTGTATATATTGTAAATAAATACTTTAATACCTACATGTGTTGGTCCAGGCAATTATAAGCAAATATTCTATGACTTATACAGTTCCGAATATTTTTAAATTTAAATCACAAGACTTATTTCTTAATATAAATTGTTTATGAGGCTACAACATAAACTAGTGATCTACCTTTAAAACCTGATTATGAGTTTAAATGACTTCGGAAACCGACATGTCGCAGCAATAAATGTTAGACCTTGTAGTTCACATTGACTGTAGCTAGGCAGTTCTATCGGTTGTCTAGTTTGTCCAGCCTGTAATGTAAATTACGAAATCCAACAACCTTCAGGAAATTCCCTATACTGAGGGTAATGGTCTTCCTAGGGTTGTGTGGACCAATAAATAATAAAAGCCTAGATGAACCAGTTTCGAATAGTACCCATTGCAAGATTTAATCAGTATGGTCGGATGTCACTTTCAGGTCTAGAAATATGGCCGGAGTTAGTAAACTTACTCGTTTTAGAATGGTACAAAAGGTAGTAATTGATTATTTCATCCTCCAACGGATATGAAACTTTCCAAGTCCTATTTAGAAATCAGGTAATCATCGGTCTTGTAGACATTTGGTTCAGTTCGTCTATAATCACTACATGAACATTTTCGGTCTCACAAGATGGAGCCAACTATCGTAGATGGGCATCTACACACAGTCGAAGATAAGTTCAGACTTAAGAATAAACACTATTATCTGTTCATTGACTCAGAATCCAATGGTCCTTTGTATGGTTCGTAATATACCATGACTATCTTAGATGAACGTCTAGGAAGCTCACTACCTTTCATTATGACGTAAACCTGGAGCAATCCACCGAACGTGTTGTCACTCAGCTTTTTAACCATGAGATTGGTTCGCAATTTTCCCAGTGAATGTTATTCCACAGTAAAAATCACGAACAATGATTCCCAGAGTGGGGATTTGTGGAGATTGTACTGATTCTAATGGTTGAATTCATGAGTCGATCTAGGCTGGACAACTATTGCAAACCTGTGGACACTGGATGGCTGTTTTGTCCTAGCAAGGGACTCTCCAGTGGTGTGTACCCACGATTCCGCACGCGGGGGGCTTGAACCCGGGGCCTTTGGTCTTGCACACAGGCTCTTAGCCTCCAGACTACTGAGTCGGCATCCACCGATGTTAATGTCTGCACAAACCTTCATCGATTGTCTGATGAGAAACGGTTGTGCGAAACCATGGATCGGTTGAAGTTGGACATTAACATCGGTGGATGCCGGCTCAATAGTCTAGAGGTTGGGCGTGCGGGACGGAAGGTGATGGATTCGAGTCCCACACACAGAATCGTGGACACATACTGCTAAGGAGTCCTATACTAGGACGGAACGGCCACCCAGTTTTCACAGGTTCTCAATAGTGGTCCAGCCTAGACCGACTCATGAATTCGACCACTAGAAAATTTCACTTGCGGAAATTATTTCAGATATAATGACTTCTCTATACTAGGCTCTCAATTTTTGTCAAACTATTCGTTCTAATCTTGACGAACACTCGTATACTAAACAATGATTTGAAAATGCTTTACCCGGACTAGTGTATTTCTTAGCGCGTTATTTGGTTACATTTTTCCCTCAGCACACAAAAGTTTGGTAAAAAGTAGTAAGTAGGAATTTGAGTTCCTGATGTAGTATATGACTCCAGTAAAATGTGGATTCCAGTTGTTACGCAGTGACAGACTAACATGCTAAGGAATATTTTCAAATCATTGAAGAGTCCCACAATAGGACGAAACGGCCGTCCAGGTTCTCCATGGTGGTCTAGGTTCAATTGACTCATGATCTCAACTATTGAAATTACTATAATATCCACAAAAAACCCCCTTCTGATACATTTATTTAACACATAGATATGGTACAAGGAGGCATCGGATACATATGCGCCACACATATCTCATTGGATATGTGTGAAGGCTGTGATACTGCCCGGGTGCCCAAACCGAAGCAGGTGGTTTTCTTAGGGGGCCACGCCCCGAACTTTCGACCTGAAGATCTGAACCACAAGGCAGTGGAGCATCGTAAGGAGATGCAGTCCTATGGTAGCCGGTGACCAACGATTAGTTCATACGCCATTTGTTCCTTCAGCATACTGGAGCCCATGTTCACCATTGGTTTGGGATCCGGTTAAAGCGCCGGACATTCGCTTTTCGTCCTCTCATTTTCGTAAACAACACCCCCACCACGAGAAGGCAGTGAGTAGGACTTCCCTGGCAGAGGCTGTAAACGCGTGGCCATGTGAGAGCACTTCTAGAGGGAGAGCGGACTCTCCCTACTCTAGGCCGTACCAGGGCATTTGGGGGCCCTTCTGATACAAATCATCATTTATTTGACTGGTTCTTACTATAGAATAATATTCGCTGGGAAAAATGGACCTAATTGCATAGTAAAAGAACTGGCTGACAGTAACAGAATGATTAGAATCTAGGAACGTTTGGCTTTATATTGAGCGATCCAAAATATTGGTATCTTCCGAAACGGCATATCTAAGAATGGGGCTGGTAGATTTTATTTATTTATGGCTTTATTCAATATTATATTTTGGTACAATATAGAATTCTCAGCACAAAAATATTTCAACAAGTTTCTTTTACAGAACAAAAGAAAAAAAACTGTACAACTTTTCAATTAGAGTCATGTTAAGAATGCAGATTATTGACTAGGTTAACTCTAACAACCTGTTCGTCACAGAGTACATTTGCTAGGTAAGGTACTATAGAACGTTTATACTTTTGCTTGCGTGCTTGGATTTTAATGTAATTTCGTCTCGTTCTACCAGAAGATATACAAAAAGAAAGATATGATTGAAGGGGATGGTTAGTATCTGATAGAATAACATCTGTCAGGAGTTTGCATGACTTTAGATGTCTATCCACAATCATATTAATTATGGACTCGAAAGATTCACCACATAACTTGCTAACTGCCTTCAGCGCTCTCCGCAGTACAGCAAAGTCTTTTCTCAAAAGCCCGGGAAAGAATAACGGAGAACAGTACAGAATAATAGGTAATATGCAAGAATTGACAAATTGTAGGAGTAAATGACGAGTGATCCCAAAGGCATGCAACCTCTTAATGTAGTAAGTCAGACGGAAAACTTTCCTCGACAACAATAAAACGTGAGAAGACCAAGAGAGATCAGAGGAAAAGGTAACACCAAGATAATTGACCGTCGACACTGTGTTTATCAAAGAGTCGCCAATGGCACAAGCATTATGAGATCTCAAGAAGGTGTTTAAATGCCGATCATGTCTCATGCTAAAGTTAACAGCTTGACATTTAGACGGATTAAGTAGGAGACCATTAACGACAGACCAACTATCAATGCGAGATAAAAACTCGTTCATTTCTATAGGATGTAAAGAGGAAGAGATAGGCATACAAACAGTGAGACCGTCTGCATATTTCACGAAAGTGTTTACTGTGGAAGATGGCAGATCATGCGGAAAAAAGAGAAAAGAATAGGTGAAAGAACAGCTCCTTGTGGTACACCTTCATAAGACACTATAGACTCTGAACACTTTGTAAACGCCACGATATCCTTATATTACGAATAGTCCCTAAATGCAATTTATGAAGAAAACTAACCTACACCAAATTTTCACTACATTACTTTCTGGACTATTGATGTTTTTCCACTATGTTTTGTATTTAGTGATAATTACTCAGTACATAGATTATAAGTGATGTATAACCGGTAATCTTAAACGTGCTTTTAATTCCTCCACTGGATTCATTATTAACAAAAGTGGGCTTCATGCCACAGTTAGCGGGGCAGGGAAGAATAGAGTAGCAGTAGTCCCATTCACTGTATTGATATTGAGGTTGCTAGTTATTCCTTAAATTTAAACAACCGACAATAATCACCAGTCAAAATATTTGTTGAACTAGTGAAATAGCTACGGTGATTATAATTATGTGTATTTAACTATTGACCTTTGAGGTGAATATGAACAATGATAAAAATAATAATTTCAACATCTAAAAGACATTAGTGTTACACATATGTACATATATTTATTAGTATAAACAAATTTCACATTGACTAGGAACGTAACTGCTTTTCCAATTCTAGTGTCTTTACTAAGGCGTGATTCAACTTCTTGCCGACACTTGTTGCTAACTAAAAATAAAGCGTGTTAGTCAAGGTTGTTGTTACTTGTGACATTTCAACAATTGATTCTAATTGACAACTACAACATCCATCTTGTTCTAAAGAACCAATTGAACCATCTGGATAGATAACAAGAGATAGCCTAAAAATACTTGTCAAGAACAATTTCTTGTAAATCTGACCTGGATAATGAACAGGCTTCTTCCTCCTTACTTGCATCTATGATATATGTCTTTCCAATCTAGAAAATCAAGTGAAAACACATTGCCTTAGGATTATTGAAGTAACGATTAAAACAGGTTGTTTTAGCACCTTGAGATACGAAACGGGTGACCTCGTCCTGCACCAACATTAAAGCCCCAGACATTCCAAAGGAATATAAGCCTTCGATTTCTAGAATCCTCCAACTTCACACGAACCTATTATTGATCATCAGTTGCACGTCGCGACGCAACATTCATGAAGCGCGCCAAATGTGACACTGGCTAAAACCATTTACATTCATTAATTATAAAATATCAATCCAGATGAGTATTTCACTACAATGGATATCGCATCATTTGCAGCAATTTGATCTTGCCTGTAAACCGGCATGCCCCATGTAACAAACTGTTATTTGAGAATAAATTATTATTATTCTTGTTCGTTTTCCTCATGTCTATCTCCACTTCCAACTCCGCCTGGAGTCCCTTTCGAAAGGGCTACTGCCGGTCACAAGCCCAGATAAAGGAGGAGGGTTGGGCATGGGGTTAGCGACCCCATCCCCTAGAAAACTAACTCGCCAAAAAACCGCTAACCAGAAAAAATTATTCAAACCATTTAAACTCTGCCATGGGAGTCAGGAGGTCTTCGTTTAGAAGAATTATGACGCCTCATGATGAAAGCCGAGTTTCTTCGGAAGTCACGAGGCCGATGACCCTTCTGACAACCAAAGCAACCATTTATTTAGGTACATGGAATGCTCGCACAATGT